AAAAAAAATAATCTAAAGGATAAAAAATATGTATTTACTGATAGTATAGACATTTATATCACTGAAATAATACATGGAAAGGAATACAAAACCTGCTTTGATTTTAGCATTGCTTAAGAAGATACTATATAATACTAAAATTATTTAGACACATGAAAAATCAAAACATTCTAGCAAGATCATTGGACAGAAATTTTAGTGTACTTATAAAATTTATTTCCAATTAAACAATTAACAAGTTATTTCTTAACCAGTAATGCTTATTCATATTAAAAAATGGAATTTGTGACTGACAAGGATGCTATTGCAGCTTCCTAAATAAAATAAGAAAACTAGAGGCCATACTCATAAGTGAAATAAATCAGATTCACATGTGTAAAATCGTATTGTCTCCCTAGTGTAAGAACCTGAAAGGAATAATAGGCATAGTAAAATGGGCAGAAACTGAACATATGAAATAAACAATAAAGATGAGGGAAAGATCATGCAAGTGTACATTCAGGATAGCTGAGATGATTGTAGTTCTCATTTCCATCAGTTTTTTTTTTCATTTATGTATTTGATATGGGGTTTCACTATGCAGCTCAGACTCATAGTAATCCTCCTGTTTTCAGCCTCCCCAGTGCTGGGATTACAGGCATGTGCCACCACGCCTGGACTGGGTTGTTAGCTCAGCACCCCTGGGGGTAGGGCCAGCACGGTGTGCGGAAAAGGGGATTGAGCCCAGGTCCCTGTGCTTGCTTAAGCAGGCGCTTAGTCCACTGAGCTATCTTGACAGCCCTCCACCAGTTTTTTTGAGATTAGCAGTTAATGTTCAAAATTCTCATGTTCAGTAACTCTATACACTATTATCTATAGTCTTAGCAACTATATTGAAGACAGCAAAGTGCAATACAAAAGCCACAGTTGAATATTTCTCATCTTACTCTTCTAAATACGTATACTTTCTAACATCATATCAATTAATAGTCTCTCTTTAAAATAAATTTATAAAAACATAAAGTAAAAAAGGACAAGAAGCATTAAAGTTTGTTGAAAGTGAGCATTAATGTTAATCTGACCACTTTTGCATGTCCATGTCTGTTCATCCGAACAGCTCGCTGCTTCAGAGGCTCACGGCTCTGTTGCTCTTTTCTTGTCCTCAGGTCTTCTGTGCTGCAGGACTTCTGTGCTGACTACAGACCTGGACAAAGCTCACAGATCCTGGCACCCTTCCCTGCTTTCTGATTTCTTTTTTTTTCCACTTTATTTATTTATTTTTATTGATTTTACTGAGAAACAAATATCAGTGAGCCAGGTTCAAAACTGATTAATAGGACAGTTTCAATAATTAATACATTGTACATTGTTGTCTTTGTAGTGGTTATCCACTGTACAAGATGCAGACATGATATCCTGTCTAAACACTATTAGTACAAATCTTTCTTCTCATTGAATTAAGAGAAAGTAGCTGTATATCTATCCTATTTTGTATATACAGATACAAAATGGTCCTTCGTTTATATCCACTTTTTTTTGGTTTAGTTTTGTCCAAGATGGGTATTCCATTGCCATTTAAATGTTGCAGGTGCGTGAATTCAACAAAATATTCCAATATAGTCCAGTAGTCCATAATAGTACTGGATTTTCTGTAGGACTGGCAATGTCAGAAGTAGTTGACTTGAGCCTTTTACAGCTCAGCATATTAATATGGCTTTACTTTTTATACTTCATTTTTATACATTTCTGCTGGATGGTTAAGACCAAGATAAAGCAAGACCTATATAACAAGAAATGTAACTTCTGTATCTGACAAGGTCAGTCAAGTAGCCTCAGGATTTACCCTGAAACCCTGTACCGCAGTTTGCAGATATTTTGTCAGCGTCAGCCATGTGGATGAGCCATGGCCATTGCTTGAACAATTTGCTCTCTGTGTGCTTTCTGATTTCTTGATGCCTCTGAAATTGAGGCCAATTTTAAAACAGTTTCTAAATAATGTGGCTTTGGCAAACTCATGAGAATCATTCCTGAAATGTAATAGTTCTTACTTGCCTTTCTTCAGGAGGTGATGCATTAGTTAAAAAATATTGTTTGTGCTAGTTTTGAAATATGGGGACAATGAAGTGGTAATCACATTGGAGATTTTTGTACTTGTCACTGATTATCTCATTTTAAAAAGAATATTTAGACATAAAAGAAAATATGTAATATAGCAACCAGTGTTAAATTTTTATTCTTGTTTTGAAAAATCTATCATGTGCACTGTCGCTTGTTATTGCTTTTGTCTTTGTTTCTGCTATTTGTTTTTAATCTTTAAAATAAAATAAAACTAGAAAATTCTGAAAAAAAATAAAAGAAAATTAACGACCCATAAATTTATCACACAAATACAACCACTGTTCATTTTTAAGGCACTTATTTTCAATGCTTTCTAGTTTTTCCAAAACTATAATTATTAAGAAAGTTTATAGGCAGGCCAAATAACTCAGCGAATTAAAGTGCCTGCAAGCAGGGGCAGGGGCCAGGGTTTCGATCCCCAGGCCTGCTGTACCAGCCCTGCCCCCAGGGCATGCTGAGACAGCAATTGAGACTGGGCGTGGTGGCCCGTGCCTGTGATCCCAGCTCTTGGGAGGCTGTAAACAGGCAGATCACTACAAGTCCGATCTAGTAGTGAGACTCTAAACACCCTATAGGCCCTTCCCTAAAATACAAAGAAAGAGAGAGAGAGAGAGAGAGAGAGAGAGAGAGAGAGAGAGAGAGAGAGAGAGAGAGAGAGAGAGAGAAAGAAAGGAAGAAGAAAGGAAGAAAGGAAGGAAGAGTCTATATACATTTCCATACATCTGTACAATTCTTGATTTGAGATAGTTTTTTTTTTGTCTTGCTTTTTCATTAGGATATTTGTGCCATTTCATTCAACTTAAGCACCCAATTATGGATATGTCACCATTTACTTTATGATTTCCTTCACAGAAAAATTTCAGAGTTACAGGGAATGCTGGGCCACCTTTATGGTTGAAGATGTCTCCCTGTTTGGGGTGTGTCCATGGTACACTTTCCAAGAAATGCTATTTCTACATGAATTGGTCTAAATATTTTTAGGTTCTTGACATATTAACACCCACACCTAAAGTTTCTTTATGATCATAAACTAGTGTATAACCCAGTGCCCTGGTCACCCCATGACTGTGTGATGAATGAACAAAGGAGTGAAACATGACCTCATGCTTCCTCGTTTCTCCATGTGGGGATTCCTTAATTCAGTTCATTGCATGGGGGTGGGGCAGAAAGCTGTGCCACTGTTCACATCTACACCATCCCTGTCGTTGGGAGGCCACAAAAAGCAGAGTTTCGGTTCTATGGGAAGAAATAGGACAGAGAAGTCTTTTATAGATCAGCTCTCATGGGAAAGGAGAGCAGCCCTGAGCCAACGCATTCCCCTCTCCTACTCATAAGGAGACTATTTCCATATAAGAAGCCAGAACAGATCATGAGTTTAGATAACTCAGAGATGCTATTCTTGGATATCCTGAGCCCCTGTGGTCACCAAAGACTGAGTTATGCAATGCGCACATGACAGTATTACCATGCTTCAAAGTTTCCCTCTTCACCCCCAGAATACATTCCCCTTTGGCACAGGCTGCCTACAAAAGGAAGAGATGATGGCTGAGACACCAGAAGCACAGGAGCAGCACCAAGTACCCAGGCCTTTCTCGGCTCTGCTGACACTCGAGCCCAGACTCCACTGACTCTCAGCATCATGAAGGTCTCCATGGCTGTGCTCGCTGCCCTCCTGTGCACCATGACCCTCTGCCACCAGGTCTTCTCTGCACCACGTGAGTTTGTGCTGTTTTTCCAGGTGTCCATTATCTACAGCCATACCACCCTAAACGTGCCCGATCTCATTTGATCTCAGAAGCTCAGCAGGGTCAGGCCTGGTTAGTACTTGGATGGGAGGTCTACTCCCTGGTATTAGGGCAACACTCAGTCTTATGTTGTGGGCTCAGAATATGCAAGAGAAAAAAGAACTTTATGAAGGACTAGAAAACATCTTGATATGTCTCTTTCATATTTACAAGGGGCCATCGCTCTCCTAGTCCCAGTCTCTGAGAGCCAGGCTTGGGGTGTGCAAGGCAGTTGCCATACCTTGTGCAGATGGAAGAATGGGTCCTAAATAAGTGAATTTTCAAAAGGCAAGATGGAGGTCTGGTTCCTTCCTAATGGTGCCACCTATTCACTAGCTGGAGTTCTATCTCAAAAGAGATGGCACTGTCTCCTCTTTCACTGGGGCATGATGTCTTGAACTGGATAAAATTCCCTGAAGAGAGATGAAGTTAGAGAATAATTTCCCAAATCACATAGGGAAAAGCAGAGCCCATGGGGAAGAGTTAGAAAGAAAGAAGAGGCAGAAATGCAGAGGCAGATATTTCTAGGCAAAGGTGTCAAATGCCCACCAGTGACCAGTTTTCCAGCCTCCACTTAGAGCAAGGCCATTGTCCTTAATATGAAAAGGAGCAGCTCTGGGATGGCCCTTCCTTCTAAACCATGACTTGGCTCACTCTGCCCTTCCTCTGCAGTTGGTGCTGACACACCGACAGCCTGCTGCTTCACCTATGTGTCCAAGAAAATTCCACGCCAGTTCATAGCTGACTGTTATGAGACCAGCAGCCAGTGCTCCCAGCCAGGTGTCATGTAAGTGCAAAACCCCCTACCTCATTCTGGGAACAGTCCTCTAGGGCACAGACCAGCCAGGAGAGCCATTCTAGAAAGACTCCTACCTTATCAGTTACATAGAACCTCATGCTTGGAGATGTCACCTGGCTTGGTAGAGGTGATGGTACATAATGAGGAGGGCTGCCGCAGCCTCGAGGAAGGGGACAAGAAGAAGGTGGAAGAATGCTTTAAGGGACCCCTGAGTCGCTGAGAGTAGCTGTCTAGCCTGACCTAAGACAAAACATCCCTGAGCTACTCAGGACATAGGCTGGGATGACAGGGACACCGTGGTCCCAGAAGGCCCTCACAGGAGTCCTGAGTGGTTGATCCTTTCTTTCCTCTCTTCACAGCTTCATAACCAAGAGAGGCCGGGAGGTCTGTGCAAACCCGAGTGAGGCCTGGGTCCAAGAATACATGAATGATCTGGAGCTTAATGCTTAAGTGGCCTGGAAACAGTCATGGACCCACAGAACATGACTGGGAGGAGCAAGGATCTCACCTTGGAAGCCACCCTATGACCTCCACAGCTACCTCTCCTATGGGAACTTTTAACTTAAGTCTTAATTTATTTGTGATATTTAATTTTTTAATTTAATTTTTTATTTTTATACTGATTTTGTGACCTTTTGTGTGAAAGATCTCGGGATACTTTCTTTATCACCAGTCACCTTCCCTTCTTCCATCCTGTTTGGTGACAGTTGAATGGCTGTCATCAGCTACTTCTATGCAGACATGGTACAAAAGATGCAAAACTGACACATACATAATGGATTCTTTTATTCTGTGCTGTGTCTAGCCTAATGAAATAATAAACATTCTTTTAAAACAAGTAAACTGACATTCAGGCTGATTTTGTTTTCTGACCAATCACTGGTTACGAGAAATAAGAGAAAAAAAGTGGGAAGATGTGAAACACAAGGATTTGGGGTATGAAAAAAAGGAGACACAGAAAGACTTCACTTTACACTGTAGATACAGTTCCAGAGCAGTGGAATTACAAACTTTTATAAATCAACTCATAATATATCCATGCAAGGAAAACTCATCACTTCAATGGGTGCTCCTTAGGAAGAATATTCAGTAGTGGATATTTAGAAGTCAAATTTTCTTAATAATAAGTGATAACATTTTTTGAAGCTTACTCAAAACTGAGTGCTTTTCATGCATTGTCTCAAGGTCCAGAAGCCCTCAGTTAAGAGAGAAGTTCAATGGGCTCCAACATTCCTTAAATATAGATATTATGGGCAACAATTTATAAATCATGGTAAGTAAAGTGGAAAACACTACTGGGACAAAGGGAAGAAAGATGCATTGTGGACAGGTCCCCAGCAACTTCAGAACTGAGACCCAACAGGAGTTCCCAACTCTCCTCCATGGGACATATTCTCCATGAAGACATCTGAGATGTCATAGGAGAGGAGCAGTATTAGGGTTGTGAAGGAGCTGCCTACTTCCTCCGACTAGGGGTTAGGAGTCGGGTGCTTTCTATAGGTATTGAGCAATAAACAATTGTTTGCGGGCCAGTCTTGTGGTTTCTTTGGAGGGTAACTCCCTTCTAAAGATAGTAGTCTTCCAATCTACTTGTTTCTGACCATTTCATGGATTAAGAAACCAACAGCAGAGAGGTTTTCCAAATGTGTACTCTATTTTTTATTTTGACCTGGGTTTGAAAATGTGCCCAGGCCAACCTCTGGCACCCTGTGGAGTTACAGGGTCACATGTGCAGGTGACCATCCTCCACCCTCGGCCCAGAGCCACATCCTCCTTGCAATCTCAGAAAGAGCTGATGGTCATCCAGATTTGGTGATGTAGGCCTCTGATCTATACTTGTAAGACTGAAGCAGGAAGACTGCAAATTCAAGGCCAACTTGGGCCATTGAACAACACCCTGTCTCAAATTTTTAAAAGGCAAAGAGTGTATCTTATTGGTGGAGTGCTTGCCTAGCATGGATGAGGTTCTGGATTCAATCTCTAATCCTTAAGCACTATCACTGTGTATTTAAGACTGAGAACGTAATTATTTCCTAGGAAGGGTAAAGAAGGAGATCCAGGGCTGCAGTTGGGCCACACAGGAACTCCTAAGCCTCTCACTTCCTTGCTCCATGTACAGTAAATTTATCTTAGAATACAAATTTCTGCAGTTACATTCCTGCATGACTCCAAATCCCTATGTTCTCAGTCAACAGGATGGAAAGGACTTGCTCAACAAAGCTGAGTTGTTTTTCCTTTACTGGTCTCAGATGAGCCCCCTTTCAAGGCAACCTAGGCCCTTTCCTAAAGGACCTTATTGATGAACACGAGGGGTGGCTGTCAAATTCCAACATTGAGAATCAAATTCCTTAATGCTACAGTCTTAGTATTTAGTAGAGGAACTTAGCACTAAAATAGATCGGGCCACAGTTCAACCAGCGCTGCAATGCTGGTGTTTTGCAAGACGTAGCACCCAGAGTGCAGTTTGGGTAACACCTGTAATCCTGCTAGGCATGTAGGTCCTAAGACCATCTCCCAACCTGGGGGAGGTGAAGGGATACACTCTGTGTTTATCTAGCCTCCAAGTAATTCTGACACACAGCAAACTTCAAAATCCATTCCTGTTCAGTGAACCCCTGAATGTGCACATAAACTCCCATGCGCAACCCAATTCTCCAAGTTCCCCTTTGCTCTTTCCTGTCCTGTCACCTACAGATTCACTGAGCACAAGCATCAGCTAGCGAAACTGCACACATCTCCCCTTTCTTTAGTGTTCCTTAGTTCCAAGTTACAGGAAACGTCCTCCCTGCAAGGGCATCTGCCAGAAACACTGACAGCCACAACAACACTAAAGCACAAGTCACTTTAATGAATATAGATACTGATTGTCTATGCTTTTTGTTCCACTGGACTGTAATTCTTGCTGACCTATGTGAAGGAGATGAGATGTACAAGGACAAAATTTCAGAGGAGGCTATTTTTGGAAATAACGGACAACCTAAGTGCCTACCTGTCTGGGGCTGACGTACCTTGCCTTGAAAAGTTCTATAAAAGAAACTACCTTAGGAATACTAGTAGGATGCTTGTTGCAGGTGACAGCTTACAACCCTGTAATTCTGCCAGCTTGTTGCCAATAAAAGCATGTCTTTCTCTTCTCTACATCTGAGTTCACTGACTCCACTGGACAGCAACAGAAACAAACTTTTCATGGTTACACTCAACCTTGTGGCCTCAAGCCTGAAGGGTTACAAAGGTAACTCTGGCCCCAGACACCTGATGCGGCAGCAGCCAAACAGGGATCCAGGGCCGGTGGTCTCTTTCTGATCTCCCTGCCATGTCAGAATATCTGGATGGCTGCCCGTATCTGAGTGTGGCACGAACTCTTGATGACTTTTGTGGAAAACAGTGAGTCTGCATTCATATGGGGCAAAAACATTAATTTGTTTCAGATTTGGATGACTTAGAATTTCAATTCTAAGCAAATGCTGTGATTATGAAAACAATTTTCACTAGGTTGCTTAGGTTAATCAAGGCACACACTGCTCTCTGTGGATAGGGTAAGCTTCACCTGATGACCTGTGGCATCATTCTGTAGTCACATCTGTACAGTTAGAACAGCTGTGGGATAATAGAGAAGTGTCTGCTGTGGCAGAGGAAACCATGAGTACACAGCTGTAGGCCTTCAAGTGTGGTCCTGGGATGGCACTGGGATTTCACCTGCTCACACTGTGGAAACCACCTACCCATACATACCCCAAGTCCAGTGGGTGAGCACTTGAACTATTGTTGCAATGCCTTCAGCAGTGTGGTTACCCAAGATCCCCCTTGCATGTGCAAGACTTCCTCTGCCTTCACCCCAGTTTCCACTTCCCCATAGCTGAGGGCTTATCCATTAAGACAAGAGGATATGACTTGGGTCTCTGAAGGAGGCTGGCAGCAGTGAGTGGCCTTTCCCTTTCTCAGTCTGCCCCAACTCTTGGACCCTTGCTGTCCTGTTCACTGACCATACTTGACCTAACTGGGCTTCTGCTCTCAAGGCTCTTTCCGTTCCCCAGTCTCTGGCTGAGGTCAGGGCATTTCACCAAAGTCCTATGGTCAGTCCCAAGTAGAAAAGACCTTCCCAAAAGATTTTCAAAATGCTCTAGGCAGGCTGGGCCAGATAGGTCAGCCAACCAACGTGCCTACTTAAGCAGGTGCAGGGACAGGGGTTCAATCCCTGGTGTGCCATGCTGCACCACCCCAGGGGGGCATGCTGAGAGGGCAAATGAGACTGGGTGTGGTGGTGCACGCTTGTAATCCCAGTGCTTGGGAGGCTGAAAACAGGAGGATGACTACAAGTCCGATTGACATAGTAAGACCCTGTAGACCCTGTACTACATATATATGTTAAAAAATGCCCTAGGCTAATCAGGCTCTTATTTCCAAAAGAATTTTAACTTTCTATTCAACATACATCAAAGGCAAGGTTGAATCTTTCCCATTTAGAGAAGCAGGAAAACTGAATATTTTCAGCAAGAGGAACAGCTGCACTGTAATTGCTTCCCAGTGGTCAGTGAGGAAGAAATTCTTCCCTGTTCCACCTGACAGGTGAATTCCCAAGAACTCTCTTGTTCTCTTTGCCAGCAGAACTAGAGTAAGAGGCAGACTGCTTCTTTGGCTATACCTCCTGCAGATAAATAGATAGATAGATAGATAGATAGATAGATAGATAGATAGATAGATGATAGATAGACCAAACCTAGATGAACACAGAAAAATAAACAGGAGAAAATTGTGAAACAAGAAATCTCCCACCTCCGTCCAGTTCTCCACATCCTCCAACCCTTCCCCCTAAACTATGTTATCCCCCAACTACTTTCTTCTGATTTTATCTTTGGACAGAAGGATTTGGCTCATTGGTCTCAATGAGAAAAAACTCTTTCCTCAGAGTTGGCCTAGGCCAGTGGTAGCAAACCTAGGGTGCACTGGGCTGTTTGTGTCACTGAAAGATCTGAAAGATTTTCCATCACTGGCTGAGGCCCTTAAACAATCAGTGCCCTTTTTGATGACTCACAGCTGTCCCCAAAATGATAAGTGACTGTTATATGAGACTGATAGTCAGTGGCAGGCCAGATTTGCTCCTCCTGTCCATCTCCGTGAGGAGGCAGGACATATAAGGACAAGGCCAGCAGAATATGGAGTTGGGAGCAGCCTTCCAGGGCATCAGCAGAGGGTGCAGGTCACTCTAAGAGCCTCAACCTTTGAGGACCATGACCTTTGCAGCAGGATTCAGGGAAAGTCACAGAGGTGTCTTCTGGCCTGACCTGGTCTGAGTCCCATATGGAGTCAGGTATAGGAAAGAGAGGAAAATGAGGAGGCTGCCTGAGGACAAACTTTCAGTTATCCTAGAAAGGGCAGGGGCCTGAGATTTGAGGAAATAGTCCTCAGAAAGTAGTAAGTTTTAGTTTTCCAAGGCAACTGGGCACAGAGAAGGTTAGGACAAGGAATTCTCTCCCCAATTCCTTAATTCTCATCACTTTGTCTCCCTTTTTGGCTTCC